CCATTTCTGGTCCTTCTCTGCTCAGGATCACCTGCATGGGGGCTGACTTCCACCAACCCCCTCCCCTATGGTCCCTCCAGTATCTACTACACCAAGTGATCAGATTCCTCCCAGGCAACCCTTTATCTGAGTCCCCCCAGCACAAAAACAGGGTTCACCATTGATCACCCCCAGAGCCAATATTCTGCAGGACACTGACTTCATTTGGCTTTTCCCTGATGAGGTTGGAAACCTCTAGAAAAGGAAGGATGAGAAAAACTTGAGCTGCTTTGGGGTGCCTGGGTGGCTTAGTTAGTTAAGCAACTGCCCTTGGCTCAGGTCATGCTCCTGGAGTCCCCAAATCAAGTCCCACATTGGGCTCCCTGCTCAGCAGGGAGTCTGCTTTTCCCTCAGACCTCTCCCGTCTCATGCTCTCTCTCTTTCAAATAAATAAATAATTTTTTTAGCTGCTTTGTCTCTTAGGATAAGGAAAAGTCCTGGATATGGGAGTCCAAAGGGAGGAGCCAGGCATAAGAGCACTGTGCCCATTGTCTCCTAAACTTCTCTCCCCATCCCTAACCCACCTTCACACAGTAGGAAAGCACTTTGCTGATTTTCCCCAGCCCCTACACAAAAAAAATAGATAAACAAATTTTTGTTTACCTGTCACTTCTGGTCTTCCAAACTATTTCCTATAGTTGTAAGTGAGTAGATGCAAGGAGAGAAAAGTCACCTATATGTAACTTTTTTTTTTTTACCAGAATTAAAACAGTACTTTATGCAAGATTCTGCTATTTGTGTGTTCGCCTTTATGTAAATACTGCCACTTGACACGTATTTATCACCTACTCTGAAATTTGTCGTTATTGTGTACAAAGCGAGTCTGCACTGCTTGTAAGAAATGCACATTCTTGCTTCCAAGGACTCACTTTCTATCTTGGAAACATAAATACACAGTCAAGGAAATTCATCTTCTCACCCTCTCTCTGCCCATCCCCAATCTGTTTTCCATAGAGAAGCCGGAGGGAATTCTAAAAACCCAAGAGTCATTTTCAGCTTCTAACCCTCCAGTAGTTCCCAGTTGTTCAAGCAGAAATAGCAAAATCCTTTAACATGAACTCAAGCTGCTACATGAACCATCTTATTTGGCTAAGGGGGCAGGGACCGGGTTCTAATGCCTAGAACACACCACAAGACAAAAAGCCAACACATGCACAGAGGTGCAAATGAATTTGTTTGTTTATTCTATTAAAGGAAGATTTTTTCTGAAGGCAATATCATGACCTTTATAGATATAAAATAAATATGTGTTAAAGATTTTTTATTGTGGCAAAAACACATACCATCAGATCTATCCTCTTAACAAGTTTTTAAGTGTACACCAGTGTTAACTGTAAGTACTGTGTTGTACAGAGGATCTCTAGAACTTTTTCAACTTGCAGGACTGAAACTTCATACCCATTGAATAGAAACTCCCCATTTTATTTATTTAACTCATTACAAACAAGGGAATGAGACAGAAATTAAAGATGCCCAAATTTGTGTGGAATAAGGGAATATTGAAATGAATTTGTGGATGCATGTAAAAGTGGCTTGGAAGGGGGATTTAAGTCCCCTCCCCAAGGAGACAGAATGTATGTGTATGTCTTTGGACAAGAATTATTTGCATTGCTATTAGTTATCTATAAATTATAGCATTTAAAATGGTTCAAAGGTAATAAAATGTTAAACTCAGATAATCCCAGATGGGTATGTTCTAAAGAATATATACTTTTTCACTGTGGACAACCAGAAATCTTATTTTGATTATCCTAAATATCCTTATAATTCTTTTTTTTAAATAAAGATTTCATTTTTAAGTTATATGTACACCCAACATGACACTCAAACCCCCACTCCAAGATCAAGAGTCACATGCTCTAGCGACCAAGCCAGCCAGGCATCCCAATATCCTTACAACTCTCCTTTTTTTAAAAGATTTTATTTATTTATTTGACAGAGAGAGTGAGAGAGCACAAACAGAGGGAGCAACAGGCAGAGGGAGAGGGAGAAGCAGACTCTCTGCTGAGCAGGGAGCCCAATGTGGGTCTCAATCCCAGCACCCTGGGATCATGACCTGAGCCTAAGGCAGATGCTTAACCGACTGAGCCACCCAGGCACCCCTATCCTTACAATTCTTAAAGTACATATTCATTGATCACCTAGTGTATGCCAAGCATTTTTCTAGCCAGGGTGGATTCAGCAGGAGAGACAGACAAAGAATAATTAAGCAGATTATATTTTAGGCTGATTTGTGATAAAGAGTTTGAAGAAAAATGAAAGAAAAAGATACAGAGAGAATATGAAATGGATTATAGTTTTCAATATGTTGTCCACGGATGTTGTCATTGGGAAACTGACATTTGAGTGTGCACACATATGCACACGCACGTGCCACAGGCACTTTAAGCAGACATGCATGAGTAATTCAGATATGCACACACAGAGGACACAGACCTACAGACACACGTATACTTCAGACACACAGACACACACACAGAGACAGACACACCTCCAAACACACACAGAGAAATCACACACATATATATATACAGACATACCTCAGGCATGCACATAACGGACCACAAACCCTGAACACACACATATATGTACACAGACCAAAGAAATACACACACACCACAGACACGCATAGAGACTGCAGACACAAACACACATGCACCTACACGGATACACAGGCCAAAGACACACAAACACAACAGATACACTCATATATCACTTCCACCACAGCCACACAAGGTGAGGTGTTAGCCATTGGCTCCTCACACTGGGAGCTTTGCCCTGGGAAGACTGGGGCCCTGGTTCTCTGGCCAAACAGATGAATAGACCAAGGTTAGTCTTACTTCAGCTCCCAGGACCCACCACTCAACAGATGGGAGACAGGTGCTCAGGGTGCAGGAGGACAGGCTCAGTCAGCAGAGGGGCCAGCTGGAGCAGAGGCCCACGGAGACCGTCCTGACCTGGGGAGAGAAGGGGAAGTATGTTCAGCTAAGTAAGAGCAAGGCAGAGATCAGAGCACAGAAGAGCAGCAGGTGTTTCCCTCCAATTACCAAGCCTGTCCCTTCCTTTCTCCTCCATCCTTGGAGTGGCCCCATCCTACAGACTGTCCACTGGCCACTGTGTGGACTGTGTCCAGCGTGGGCCAGACCAGCCTGCACAGAGCACTAGACATGTGTGAACACATCTGCCTTCTTGAAAATCCCATGTGTTGGTTTATTGGGGTTAACATAAAGTACACTGACCCCGCAGCTTAGTTAACAGAAGTTCATTTCTCAGAACTCTGGAAGCTAGACATTGTGGGCAGAACAGGCTCCTTCGCAATCCTCTCTCCTTGGTTTGTAGATGGCTGGTTCCCCCTTGTGCTCATGTGGTCTCTTGTTTGTGCAGGTCTCTGTCCTAATCCCCTCCTCCTCCTCTTCCTCCTCCTCCTCCTCCTCCTCCTCCTCCTCCTCCTCCTCCTCCTCCTCCTCCTCTTCTTCTTCTTCTTCTTCTTCTTCTTCTTCTTCTTCTTCTTCTTCTTCTTCTAGGATTTTATTTATTTATTCTGAGAGTGAGAGAGAGAGCACATGCAGGGGGAGCGGCAGGCAGAGGGAGAAGCAGACTCCCCACTGAGCAGGGAGCCTGATGTGGGGCTCAATTCCAGGACATTTAACTGACTGAACTACATAGGGGCCCCTCCTAATCCCCTGTTCTTATAAAGGCACCGTCTTGCTGGAGTGGAGCTCACCCCAATGGCCTCATTTTACTTTAATGATCTCCTTAAAGACCCTATGTCCAAAGATAGTCATATTTGGAGGTACTGACGTTTGAAAATGAACATATGAAATTTAGGGTGACACAACTCAGCCCATAACACCTTGTGAATATAGGCCTCCAGCTATGCACAGAATTAGACCCCTTCCCAAGGCAGCACAGTGAGCATCTGGTACGCATGATCTCTTCGTGGGAGGCCACAGACGAAGGAGCCCTAGGACACAGCTGGCCAGCAGGACCTTCTTACCAAAAGCAGGAATATGAAGGACCACTGAGGAATGGGCAGGGCCAGACATTTGACGTGTAAGATGGCCACACCCAAGTCTGTGGAAAATGCCCACCACTGTCCTCATATTCTCCCACAGATAAGAGCTGGGTACTGCGATCCCTCCATGTGACTGCTGGGGAAACTGAGCCTTGGAGGGGAGGAGGGCCAGGCACGCCTGGGCATTCTCCCTCAATGTCACGCAGTGCTATCATCTTGCTGCAAATGCCCAGCTCTCAGGTGTGGTCCAATGTGGGCGACACCTGGGGTGCCTGGAGCAGAAGGCTGTGAGCCGACCAGCAAGCCCTGGAACACCTGGGAGTCCTGGTCCCTGTCCACTCTGGCCATTCATACCTGGGAACTCACCTCCTAGCTGCCCAGAGCAATGGTGTTCCTACAAGCCCCTGTCTGTGCTTCTGCCAGCTCACACTGTACCAACAGGAGCTGCCACAGCCTGGAGTTTCTCTGTCCCCTTGAGTGTTAGGGGAGTTTTTAAGAACAGAGATGGGGTCTGTCCTTCTCCACTTTGACTCCACGGCCCTGAAAGGAGATGTTCATGATGCAGGTGTCGTGCTCACTCATTAATTACACATCAATCACTTCCCTTGTCCACAGTGGGGAGGTAGCCCCACCTTTCATGCCTCAAGGTTCCCCTGCTCACCCCTCCTGCATCCCACATCTGGCAGGACTGAACATCCAGGGTTTCTAGAAGCTGTAATTGGCCAGGTAGTCCCTGCCTTCCTGGTGGGAATGGAGGCTGCAGATAGGGACTGGGGGGTGGTGGGTGGCTGGGACCCCATCTGGAAAGTAGAAGTTGTTAGTCTCCAAAGTCCATGCTGTCATCGACTGGGTCCCAGCACCAACTTCCTCTTCTGTGGCCAGTCACTTTTCAAACATTAGCCTTGGCCCTCCTATTCGGGCTTCCTCTCTGTCCTGTGGCAACTCCATGACTCTCACCCCAAAGATGCTGCCGCTGCTGCTGTCCCTGCTGTGGGCAGGTGAGTGGGCCAAGGGGAGGGGGCCCAGGGGACTGGAGTTGCCACTCACCTTCAATTCTCCACAGGGTCCCTGGCTCAGTATGCAACATACCAGATGCAGGTGCAGGAGTTCCTGACGGTGCAGGAGGGCCTGTGCCTCTCCGTACCCTGCCGCTTCTCCTACCCCCGCCAATACACTAATAATGACCCAGCTTATGGCTACTGGTTCCGGGAAGGGGCCAATTCACACCACGATGCTCTAGTGGCCACAAACAACCCAGGTCGTAAAGTGCAGGAGGAGACCCAGGACCGATTCCGCCTCCTCGGGGACCCCCGGGCCTATGACTGCTCCCTGGACATCAGAGATGCACAGAGAAGGGACTCGGGGACATTCTTCTTTAGGGTGGAGAGAGGGTCTTCTGTGAGATATAATTACTTGCAGAATCAGCTCTCCGTGTTTGTGACAGGTAAGGAATGGGCTTCAGGAGAGGACACATGTCCCATGCATGGATCCTGAGGGCTCCTGGGGCAGGGCTGGGAAGGGACCCCCTGATCTCCATCCTGGCTGGGGAGGAGACAGCTGGCTTGGGGTGGAGGCTGCTTCTAGGGGCACACTCAGGGTCCCACTGCAGGATCTCTCTCTCTCCTGCTCAGCTCTGACACAGACACCTGACATCCACATCCAGGGGCCCCTAGAATCTGGCCACCCCAAGAACATTACCTGTAGTGTGCCATGGGCCTGTGAGAAGGGGACACCCCCCACCTTCTCCTGGATCGGAGTTGCCCTCCCCTCCTGGGGCTCCAAGGCTCCCCACCCCCCCGAGCTCACTCTCACCCCGAGGCCCCAGGACCACGGCACCAACCTCACCTGTCGAGTGACCTTCCCCGGAGCTGGTGTGAGCACGGAGAGGACTGTCCAGCTCAACGTGTCCTGTGAGTGCCAGACCAGGATGCCAGGGTCCCTGAGGGCTGTGGGTATTGGGGAGGCAGGGTCTCGAATCCTGGGGAGGAAGGAAAGAAAACACCAGACTCCACCCCTTTCCCATTTCTGAAGTTTCTGGGGGAAAAGGGCCAACACCGACTTTCCTGCCTCTGAAGACAATTGTGTCTATCTGTTCAGACGCACCCCAGAACCTGACCATCAGTGTGTTCCGAAGAGAAGGTACAGGTAGGGTACAATCTCTCATCTTGGGCTGTGGTGCAAATGGCATCTGTCTCCATCCTTCAGAGCAGAGCTGGGGTTTCAGAACTCAGGTGGGAGAAAGGCTCAGGTGTGGGGGCAGCAGAGGTGGGGAGCAGCCCACTGGCTCCTCAGGGTACAAACTGGTTTCTCCCCACCGCTGACCCTGCTCTCAAGGGTACTGCATGACCTCTGTGCCTGATGGGGGTGGCCGTCCCCAGTGTCCCAGCTACGTTCTCCCCCCAAATATCGCCTCATTCCCCTTAGGATCTGGACCCCACCTACTCCTGCAATTCCCTTCCACATCATAGTATTATAGTTTAAAACAGTAAACACAAAATGTGTCTTGGTCTGCTTGGGCTGCCATAACAAAATACCACAGACAGAGGGGCTTAAGCCTCAGACACTTATTCCTCACATTTCTGGAGGCAGGTTCAAGGTCAAGGTGCCAGCCGGTTTGGTTCCCAATGAGAGCTCACTTCTCGTAAACAGCTGCTTTCTGGCACTGTTTTCTCTCACACAACTAAAAAAAAGTGAGTTCTTTGGTGTCTCCTCTTACAAGAGCACTAATCCAGGGGCACCTGGGTGGCTCAGTTTGTTAAGTGTCTGCCTTTGGCTCAGGTCGTGATCCCACGGTCCTGAGATCAAGTCCGGCTTTGGGCTCCTTACTCAGTGACAGGCCTGCTTCTCCCTCTCCCTCTGCTGCTTCCTCTGCTTGTGCTCTCTCTCTCTCTGACAAATAAATAGATAAAATCTTTTTAAAAAAGAAAAAGAGCCCTGATACCTTCCAAGGCCCCTACTCTCATGACCTCACTTAACCCTAATCACCCTCAAAGACTCATCCAAATACCTCCAAATACCACCATGTTGGAGGGTAGGGCTTAGACACATGAGCTTAAAGAGAACACGATCCAGTCCCCAGCAAAATGGAGTAAGAATAAAATAGTCTTTGGCACCTGTGTACCTCCCCTTTGGTTATTTTTCCAAATACAATCTACATGTCTACATTTAAAAACACACACATACGTACACACCATGCTATATAACTCCTCTGCATCTCTATTATTTTTTAAGTTTTCATTCAAATTCCATTTAGTCAACATATAATGCAACATTAGTTTCAAGTGTATAATATAGTGATTCATCACTTCCATACCTCACCTGGTGCTCATCACAAGTGCCCTTCTCAATCTCCTTATTTCCCCCTTGCCCCTCTTCCTCCTCTCCAGGAAATGATCAGTTTGCTCTGTATAGTTAAGAGTCTGTTTCTTGATTTCTCTCTCTCTCTCTCTTTTTGCCTTTGCTCATTTGTTTTGTTTCTTAAATTCCACATATGTGTGAAATCACCTGGTGTTTGTCTTTCTTCCAGCTGACTTATTTCATTTAGCTATTATTTTTTTAAGAGTTATTTATTTATTTTAGAGAGAGAGCACGCACACATGCATTTGAGCTGGGGGAGAGGCAGAGGAAGAGGGAGAGAGAGAGAATCTTCAGGCAGACTCCCCACTGAGCCGAGAGCCCGACCATGCAGGGCTGGGCTTGGTCCCAGGACCCTGAAATCAAGACCTGAGCCTAAATCAAGATTTGGTCACTTAATTGGCTAAGCCATCCAGGTGCCCCTCACTTAGCTATTATTTTTTAATAAACTTTTCATGGTCGAGTAATTGTAGGTTTACATTGTACAGAGATTCTATAAAGCCCTTGTCTATCTTCCCTTGTCTTTAAAGTATTAACACCACCATGGTGCACTTGTCCCAACTAAGTAAGTGAGGTTGGTACATTACTTTCTCTATGAGTTTGTAGGAAAGCTTCTTCATTCTTACTGAGGACTCCACGGTCTTCCAATTAGAAGTATATTATACTGTGAACTACTTAAGGAGTCCCCATTGGTGGAGAGCCATGGTGTTTCCAGACTTTTGTTAAGGCAAATAATACAGCAACAAATAACTTGTATAAACATCTTCCATATGTGTGCATGCATCTGTAAGATAATTCCCTAGAAAAGTCCCAAATCAAGAGGTATGTTTGCAATTTCTACAGTTACTGCCGAATCATACTGCACAGAAGCCGTTGTTTTTATAATCTCAACCTGCTGAACATTTTAATCCTTGCTGATATCTTAAGTGAATTCACTGTCATTTTAACTTGAATAATCATTTTGTAAACAGGTTGTGTAGCTTTCATTATGCTTAAGAGTCATTTGTATTTCTTTGTGGATTTTTTCTTAATGATCCGAAGAAGCTCTTTTTACATGAAGGAGATCAGCTGTGTGTTACTTGAAAGGATTTATTTCCAGCCTAATAATGGCCCTTTGACTTAGCATATGGTGACTTTGTTAGACAAAAACATGGTTTTTTGAGGGAGGGGTTGCATTCAGTGACATACTGGAGTTGGTTCTCACTGGCTGCCAAGAGCCAATTGTGTCCATTCTGAATTTTCCCAATTCTGAGTTCAGTGACATTTAGTTGGGTGCTTGAAATCCACCAAGGGGGAAGTATTTACACCAAGGAAATTGGCAAATCAAGACTTTTTTTTCTCCCCTCCTCCTCCCCAATGAACTGGTTGTTAAACTGTTACTGTCTTTCCCCAATCTATTATTATTTTTGAATCCTCAGCAATGTCATATGTCAACACTCACTCAAGCCTTACAGACTGCCTGCTCTTCCCTGAGCATGCAGAGCCATTTCACACCTTAGCTGTGGCTACACTTTCTGTGCCAGCCTCCAGCAATGTCCTTCCATGCTAGCTTCTGGCCCCTCTCATGCTTCACTTTAGCCTCTCCTCCTCCAGGAAGCCCTCCATGCCCTGACAGTCTCACTGAATTCCCATCTTCAGGGTTCCCCCGAGCACAATGTACCCCCATCACAAAACACATCACACTGCTGTATGACACCTGATTCTGGGTATCTCACTCACAAGACTGTGAACTCTCAGAATAACTAAATTAGACAGGTCTTAGTGAACTTAGAGAAAGACAGAATGTACATGGGCCTCTGTACATGGGTGCTTGCTCTCAGTCCTGTCCCCTTCAGCTGACCCCATGATCATGGGGTTCAATCACGTGGTGGAAGAGAAGAAACAGATTTACATGATGTGAGGAAAAGAGACAGACAGAGAGAGAGAGAGAGAGAGAGAGAGAGAGAGAGAGAGGCAATACCCCCAGTGAGGACCAGGGCTTAGCTTTCTCTCTGTCTTGCCAGGACCTGAGGCTCTGGGCAATGGCTCGTCTCTCCCAGTCCAGGAGGGCCAGCCCCTGCGCCTGGTCTGCATCGATGACAGCAACCCTCCTGCCAGGGTGAGCTGGACCCGGGATAGCCTGACCCTGCAGCCTTCACAACCCTCAAATCCTGGGATCCTGGAGTTTCCCCGGGTGGAACTGGTGAACCACGGAAGATACGTCTGCCAAGCTCAGCACCTGTTGGGCTCCCTGGAAGCATCCGTGAGCCTCCTTGTGAAGAGTGAGTTGGGACATATCTGGGAAGGATGCCTGGGCCCTGGAGAGGGGGGCCTCCTCTGATCTCTCTGCTGTCTTCCCACAGCCCCCCTGAAGCTGTTTGGTCCCTCCTGCTCCTGGGAGGGCGAGGATATGCACTGCCACTGCTCTGCTCAATCCCAGCTGCCCCCTTCTGTGCACTGGTGGCTGGGGGAGGAGCTGCTGGAGGGGAACCACAGCAATGCCTCCTGGACCCTCACCTCCAGCTCTGTGGGGTCCTGGGCCAACAGCTCCCTGAGCCTCAGCGGGCCACTGGGCTCCAGCCTCAGACTCAGATGTGAGGCCTGGAATGCCCACGGGAAACAGAGCGCTGCTGTCCTGCTACTGCCAGGTCAGGGAGTTATGAAGGGCAATGCCCGGGGAAGGGGGTGCATGAATCAGGATCCTAGAAGACATTGAAGAGACAAGTGGCTCTGACTTGGGCAAAGGAGCACTAGAGGTCAGAGTCATCCGTAGGTTGAAGAGGGGAGGGATTGAGGGAAGGGCCAGGGGAACAGGAGGCTGGGGTCACATAGAGGGGTGGGGGACAAAGGAGCCAGTCCTGGGTAGCTGTGGGCACACCCCTGGGTCATGGATTCCAGAAGGCTGGGTGCTCAGGTGCCTGCTTAGCAGGACTGGAGTTTACCCCAAGGTCTCTTATCTGCAGGGAGACCAGGGGCCAGGACGGGTGTGATTCAGAGGGCCATCTGGGGAGCTGGTGTCACAACCCTGCTTGCTCTCTGTCTCTGCCTCATCATCTTCTTCACGTGAGTGCGGGCTCTGCTTTGAGTGAAGGCCTCCTGAGGTTGGGTGACCCAAAGAATCTCCCAAACTCGAAGCCCAGAGCTAAAGAAACCTGGGGAAGTGATGCAGCCAGAGGGGACACAAGTTGTTCAAGTGGCATCAGGAATCTAGCCTCCTGACATAGAGGCCGGGAGTGGTCTGTTCCCCACACGGGGTTCCCACTCTCAGGGAGAAGAGAACATGCATTCTCCTCCTAGTCTCTGTAGCCAGACGGCAGCCTTCATGCCCTGCCTCAGTCACTCATCCTTCCAGGCTTCCAGCTGTGAGCAGCCAGGCTGAAAGGCTCTGATCTCTCCCCTCAGAGTGAAGACCTACAAGCAGAAGTCAACCAGGAAAGCAGCGTGCAGGGATGGCGTCCATCCAGCCTCAAATACGGTCTCCCAGGTGAGTGGCTGGGGCATCTCTTTCTATCTGGTGTCCCACCTGGACACCTCTCTTGGGATGGACCATGGGGTGGCTCACTCAGCATGCTAAAAGATGAGTCCATCATGGACCCTCCAAATTTGGTCCTCCCTCGGGATTTCTGGCTGGGCTCAACTCAGAGACCCGAGAGCCCCCTTTTCTTCTCCCCTCCCCTCCATCAGCAAGACCCAGTAATGGGCCAAGTTCCACCCATTTCCCTTTCAGCAAAGTTTCTTTTTCCATTTAGCCCCTTCCCTGCTGAGCCCTCGCTGTCTCCCTCCTGGGACACTTTCTGTGCCTTACCTCCATGACGCCACCTCTCCACCTCACCTCCCAAGCTTTGGGCAAGAAATTCCCCAAATACCTGTGACCCCACTGTCTGAATCAGCATGGTTCAACAGAAAAATAATATGAACCATGTACATGACTAAAATTTACTAATGGCCACATTTAAAAAGTAGAAAGAAGTATGAGATCAGTTTTAATGTAATATATTATTTAACCCAATATATTCAAAATATCATTTCACCATCATATCATCAGAATCAATGTATAGATTATTAATGAGATAGTCTGAATTATTCTTCCTCTCCTCCTTCCCCTCCTTCTCCTTCTTCTTCTCTTCCTCTCCTTCTTCTTCTTTTTCTCCTTCTTCTTCTTCTTCTTCCCCTTCTTCCTCTTCCTCTTACCCTTTCCCTTCCCTTTCCCCTTCTTCGTCCTCCTCTCCCCCCCCCTTCTTCTTCTTCTCATACTAAGTCTTTGAAATCCAGGGTATGTTTCACACTCATGGCACACCTCTGCTCAGAATCTCCATGTTTCATGTACTCAGTAACCACATGTGGCTAGGAGCTACCATATTGGACATGTAGTCCAGTTTCCTTGGTCTGGTGTTCCGTGATCTGTCCTCTGCTGAGCTCTCCAGCCCACTTCCTTCCCCTGCCCACAAAAGTAGCTCCTTAATCCCAGGCAGGGCTCGTTTTCTGTAACTTTGTGCCGTTGCACGCATGATTTCCTTTGACCCTCCTCATTTGCACTGGCCAGATCCCTAATTCACCTTTTACGCTCCAGTTTGAATATCCCCCTGCCCTAGGCAGGCAGACTGTCACCATGCCTCCCTGTAATAATCACAGGCATGTTCCCAGCATCGTGTGAGCCCCTGGGTCGATGCTGCTTCTGTGCACCAGATCATAAGTTACAATTTTATCATGTGTGTGTGTGTGTGTGTGTGTGTGTGTGTGTGTGTGTGTGACAATTTGGTACTGTCTCTTTTCCCTGATAGGCTGTTTGAGGTCAGAGATTGTGTGTGCTGAAGAGTTTCTTGACCTTGCTTACTCTGTTTTAATGTCTATAAAATGGGGATAACAGTTATACCATCCACAGGGGAGTGGGGGGAGTTGTAAGGATTCAATGCCATCATGACAAAAATTTGTTAAAGATACAATGAATGAATGAGTGAATGAATGAATGGATGGATGAATGCTCAGGAAATGGGCATGAAGTGGATAAATGAGTAAGTGCACCTCAGCCCCCTCTTCCCTTCTCCAGACCCAAAGGGCAGCTCCAATGCCTTTCCTTCAGGATCACTTGAGCAAACACTGCTCAGACAGCCCCTCAGACCACCTGCCCCCAGCTGCGGCCACCTCCCCCTCAGAGAAGGAGCAGGAGCTCTACTACGCCAGCCTCAGCTTCCACGGGCTGAAGTCACACAACTTTCAGAACCAGGAGACCACTGAGTATGCAGAGATCAAGATCCAGAAATGATGACCCCAATCTGATCCCTGCCTCCAGGAGGGCCAGCTCTGACCGGAGCCTGGACAGGACATTTATGAAGAAACACATAGCAGACACTGATTCCTTAGGAGCTGACAGCCCTCAGAGCCAAAGTTTATAAATTGGAATGTGACACTTCTTAGAGTGGCAGAAAATCACAAATTCCTGATTTCAAACATCAGGTGAGGCACTTCACCTCCCTATGCCTCCCTGTGTTCCCTCCTCTGTGAAATGGGGAATAATAATCATCAGGTACATTGTTCAGTGGGGAAAAATGCACCATTGGCATTGTTAAGCATATCCTTATGTGTTAAGTTTACCTCAGGATGGAGGGAGAGATCAGCTTTTGAACATGTATTATTTTGTCTTTTGTTTTCTTTTTCTTTGTATTATTTTTAAAAGTAAATATATTTCTGAATGTAACTCTGGCAGGAGTAGATATTTCCCAATACAAGTGTCTAATGAAGGATTCATTCACAGTATAAAAAGAATATATAAGAATCTTCCAAAAATCAGTAAGAAAAAGGCACACAACCTAATAAAAAAGCAAGATATTCAAAGGGCCCATAGGCATATAGAAAGGTGTTTAATGTCAGTAGCTTTCAAGAAAATGCAAGTAAAGACCCCAGGGCTAGGTCACTGCACAGCCACCACTATGATTAAAATAGTAAAAATGGTATCAAGAACATCAAGTGTTGAAGACACTATACCAAGTGAAATAAGCCATCACCAAAAGACAAACACGGCGTGAGTCCAGTTATATGAAGTATCTAAAGTAACCAAATTCTTAGAAACAGAAGGTAGAGGGGACCCATGGGAGGGAAAACAAGAAACGGCTTTCAATAGGTAGGGTTTCAGTTCTGCAAGATGAACACTTCCTAGAGCTTAATAATGTACATGTAGTTAACGCTACTGTACCACACACTTAAAAATATTTAAGATGATAAAATTTATGTTTTTTTAAGCTACAATAAAAAGGAGTACTTTAAAAAAAAAAACCCGTTATTTAAAACGGGGTTGGGGATGTGGATGGACAGTTAATGGTTAATGGGTATAGAATTTTACCCATTCTAGGGACGGATGATAGTGACAATTGCACAATGTAAATGCAGTTCATGCCACTAAACGTGCACTTGAAACAGTAGATTTTAAGTTGTGTCTACATTGCCACAATGACATTTTTTCCTTAAAGAATATCAAGTATGCTTCAGCAGCCCCTATCCTAAAATTGGAAAGAACCTGAGAAGATTAGCGTGGCCCTTGTGTAAACATGTCAGTGTTGGTGATGAGGAGCAACTGGAACTCTCCTACATTGTCATGGGGGAGGGGAGTGAGAACTGGTACAAGACCCTTGGGAAAATGCTGGTCATTCTCGACTGACACTGAGCATGGAACCAGCAATTTCACTCCAAGGTGTGTGTCCAGCACAAGTTCATAGAAGCATTCACCGGATGTGTACGAGAACGTTCATGGCAGCTGTGGCTGCCATGAAAAATGGAACCCGCCCAAATGCCCATCAACAGTAAGACAGGTAGATAGACTGCAGCATATTCACGCAATGGAAGAAGCAAATAACAGCTCTGTACAACGTGTGAGAAGCTTAGAGACATAATGTGAAATAATCCAGACGCAAGAGTCCTCACTATGTGACATCTTTGATGTGAGGTTTTGAAACAGACAAAACCAAGATGATTATCATATGATCTCTCTGATACGAGGAGTTTGAGAGGTTGGGTGAGGAGTTTGTGGGGTAGGGAAGGAAAAGATGAAACAAGATGGGATCAGGAGGGAGAGAAACCGTAAGAGACTCTTAATCTCACAAAACAAACTGAGGGTGGCTGTGGGTAGGGGGTAGGGAGAGGGTGGTGCGGTTATGGACATTGGGGAGGGTATGTGCTATGCTGAGTGCTGTGAAGTGTGTAAGCCTGACGATTCACAGACCTGTACCCCTGGGGCAAATAATACATTATATGTTAATAAAAATAATTTTTAAAAAAGAAACAGACAAAACTAATCTTTGCCATTGGAAGTGCAGATACTTGTTGCCATTGGGGAGTAGTGACAGGAAGGATCCAGTGGGGCCCTCCTGGGGTCTTCCAGTAAAGATCTGTATCTTTTTTTAAAATTTATTTATTTATTTTCAGCATAACAGTATTCATTGTTTTTGCACCACAACCAGTGCTCCATGCAATCCGTGCCCTCTCTAATACCCACCACCTGGTTCCCCCAACCTCTCATCTCCCGCCGCTTCAAACCCCTCAGATTGTTTTTCAGAGTCCATAGTCTCTCATAGTTCATCTCCCCTTCCAATTTCCCCAACTCCCTTCTCCTCTCTAACTCCCCTTGTCCTCCATGCTATTTGTTAAGCTCCACAAATAAGTGAAACCATATGATAATTGACTCTCTCTGCTTGACTTATTTCACTCAGCATAATCTCTTCCAGTCCCATCCTGATGGAGACATAATACTCCATAGTGTATATGGACTACATCTTCCTTATCCATTCGTCCGTTGAAGGACATCTTGGTTCTTTCCACAGTTTGGCAACCGTGGCCATTGCTGCTCTAAACATTGGGGCACAGATGGCCCTTCTTTTCACTACATCTGTATCTTTGGGGTAAATACCCAGTAGTGCAATGGCAAGGTCATCTTGATCTGGGTCCTAACTGCTCAGATGTGGTCACTCTCTGAAACATTTTTGAGTAAAACATTTGTGGTTTGTGCCCTTTTCTGTTTGAATAGTACTCTTTAACAGAATTTACATTAAGATTTTTTTAAAAGATGGGGCACCTGGGGTTTCCACTCAGGTCATGAACTCAGGGTCTGGACCAAGCCCAGTACCGGGCTCAGGCGAGTCTGCTTCTCTTTCTTTCTCTCTCCCTCTGCCCACCTCAACTCACACATGTACTCTCTCTCGAATAAATAAATAAAATTTTTAAAATATTTTTTAAAATTATCCTTGTAATTATCTAACTCTGATTTCCACCAAGTCTAAGCTCCCCCAGGGCAGGGACTATGTCTGGCCCTGTGCTTTTGGAACTCAGCCTTGGACACAACACATGAAGTGGGCTCAGGAAACCTCTGAAATGCCTACCACTCAGGTGCAAGGGGACAACATGCCTGGGCTCTGCTGGGGCCTCCAGCTTGTATTTCTACCCCAGAGCTCTCTCCTGGACTCTAAACCTCTATGTCTTCTTGGACATGTCTCACTGAAGGACCACAGGCTCCTCACTTTCAATGCATCCCAGACTGGCTCCATGTCTTTCCTCATGTCTGGTTCTCCCCTAGGTTCTCCATCCAGGATGTGAGAATGTTCCACAAGACATGCTGTCTGATACCCACCATCTTAGCAAGGAGGGCATCATGCTCCTTTAACTGCTATGTCCCACCAGGGCACAATTTCTGGTCTGGCCCTCACTGGGATCTTGTGAAACAGGTCTCTTCCTCTTCTCCAATCTCCTAGACTCCAATTTACACTCCTCTCTGGCTGTTCCTCTAAGAGGTCACTGTCTGAATCACTTCCTGAATCTCGTGAGTCTGCATCTTTTCCTCCCCCACTGGAAGCCATGAAGTCCCCTTGGCCGTGGTATAAAGTGCCCCAAGGAGCAACTACCTGGTCCAATAGTACTCAAGGCCCAACTTGCAGCATTAAGCCTTCTTCCACCCCTTCCTGCTATCATGGGGAAGACTCTGGAGCTCCCTCCTCTGGAAGGAGATCACATTAATCTCTCCACCATAGCTTTAATCTTTAATCACAGGGTCTAGAGACCGTCTAAGTGGTTTTTGTGACGTTGGTAGTGGACACTGGTTAAACGTTTAAGCCCCTTCATAGTAGCCAAAATGTGGAAACAACCCAATGCCCATCAACGGAAGAATGCAAAAACAAAATGTGGTCTATCCCTAAAACAGAGTATTATTCAGCCATAAAAAAAAGGCTGAAGCCCTGATACATATGACGTGCATGAACCTCAAAAATATGCTAAGTGGGGTACTCCAGACACAAAGGCTACTTATTTCATTATTCCATTTATATAAAATATGTAAAATAAGTAAATTCATAGAGATGGAAAGCTGATTACAGGCTGCCATGGACTGCAGAAAGGGTGAACGTTTAGTGGGTGTGGGGTTTCTCTTTGGAGTGACGAAAACGTTCTGGAATCAGATAGAAGTGGTGGTTGCACAACATGGTGGATGTACTAAATGCCACTAAATCATTCACTTTAAAATCATCTAGTTTTAGGGGAGCCTGGGTGGCTCAGTGGGTTAAAGCCTCTGCCTTTGGCTCAGGTCATGATCTCAGGGTCCTGGGATCAAGCCCCGCATCGGACTCTCTGCTCACCAGGGAGCCTGCTCCCTCCCTTCTCTCTCTCTGCCTGCCTCTCTGCTTACTTGTGATCTGTCTGTCAAATAAATAAATAAAATCTTTTAAAAAAATCATCTAGTTTTAAATAAATAAATAAATAAAATCATCTAGTTTATGAAAAAAAATCGTCTATGTTACATGAATTTCCCCTTAATTAAGAAAAATAATTTAAGTTCTTCAAAGTCATTCAAATGCCCACTTCACCACTTGACCTGTTGCTGCTTCCACTTGCTCCTCCCTCCAATGAAGATAACAACATTTCCTAGCTCATTCAGTGGTTTTGAGAATGCACTGAATTAATGCACACAGGGAGGCTCTGTCCGCAGTGTGTGGTGAGCAACTCTTGGAGACTGGTCAAAGTGCACTCAGCCAAGGGCCAAACGCTGCCCAGGTAATCCTTCGACTGGTCAAATGACCTCTAGGCTTCAACCTATAGACACATGATATCAAGTTGTCCACCACACCCTGATCAAGCGGACGACTAACCCTGTGGTCGCAGGGAAAGGCCATTAATGTGCAAGCGAGGAAGGAGAAGTGTAAGGCCTATTTCAAGTCTTCACATCCAGGGTTTTCTTTCACTTCCCGCTCTCTCATCGTCCATTCCCGTGAGTCACCAAGTTCCCGATCT